GAAGCTTTCCTATGAAGGACTAAAGGCAAGCTGGGCTAAGAGACGAAAAGAAACCATGTTCTAGACCCAGCTATGCTTGGATCCACCCAAGTCTATCCCTTAAGTTCTCATTACACCAGACTTGAAAATACCCTTTTCAAGGGGCACCAAGGTGGCTCAGTCAGTTGAGTGTCCAACTTTGGCTCAGGTCATATCTTGCGGTGAGTTCCAGCCCCACATCAGGCTCATTGCTGTAAGCGTGGAGCCCACTTTAGATCCTGTCTCCACCTCTCTCTCTGCCCCTCCCCTGCTCGTGCACTCTCTGTCAAAAATAAATAAAACCTTAAAAAAAGGACTCTCTAAAAAATACCCTTTTCAAAAAAATTTGTGTACACGATAGTCTGCCATTTCCAATGAAAAGCATCCCATACGATGTGGAATTTGATACAGGAGTGTTTCCCCAAGAGAGTTTAGCATAAGAAGTTGGTTGGGATGTTAAAAGAGGATATAGAAGGGTTCAGCAGTCAAATAAAGTTTGAGAATCTTGAATTGGACAAATTTTCAAAGACTGACAAGATTTCTCATAGCCTTGAATTTGATGACAGGACCTTAAGTCTCTCAGAGGAGTACACTTAGTAAATAATCCTTTCCAACACTCCTTAGACAACCTGGAATCAGTATGGGACAGAATATGCTTTGGGAAATGCTTGGTTTGAATCTTCTCCAAGTCTAGGCTTTTAGGGAGAAGCAGAAATTCTTTATGGGGGTGACCAAAAAACAAATGAAAGAAACCCTTCCAGGATCTGTACTGGACTCAGCCAGACTTTATCTCAGATGGCGATGCCTTTTACATTAATGCCAACTTTGATGATCCACAGACAAAACTTTACTTTCCTAAGTTTCAATAACGGTCATCAAACGCTGCAGCCAAAACAAAAACTCAAATGCAACTGAAAACACAGAAACCCCCCACATTTTCTCAGGAAACCTCTTGTTTTCATCAGATCTGCCCGCCTCATTAACCATTTCCATTTACCGTGCAATTTTAATACTGCAAGTGAAATGGCCCGTCGCACACAGAAGAAAACTGGACAACATCTGTAATTTCATAGTTATTTTAATAACCAGGTGTACATTAACAGTCACTTGATGAACTTTTTCTTTAATCTCAGCTAAACTCAAAACACAGTTTTCTTCACGGTTCAAACCAAACAGCTCTTCACGTCCCAGAGCTGCCTCACAGCTACCACAGATCACGGGGAGATTTACGGTCTGTTCATTTTCACCAGACACAGAACTGAACACCCACACACCATTTTCCAAGGAGGGAACTTTTACAATGAATGCTGGCTGCCGAGGACAGCCCATGGGTATATCTGGGACTCAAGCTGGAGTTTTCTAGGGGAGAGAAGGCCTGGGAAGCTTGTGGCAAGAACCAAACTCAGGGCTCATCCACCCTAGTTGGGAAGGGCTTCTCAGGGTGAGCAGAAGTCCAGGATTAGGATTAAGGCCTTTGCAGCAAAGCATGACTCTCTGGGTGTAGGCATGAAGAAAAAGGCCAGAGGGTGACTGGTCTTTGAAGAAAACCCATTTTCGTGATGACAACAACACTGCCATTTTTAGAAAACATAGAAATAGAATACTTCTGCCGGGTTGGCTGATTTAACGATTCCACAAATACCTTCTCAACCACCCAAGATGGTGGCCCTCCCAGAACTCAGATGATGGCCACCTGGGTTGAGGAACAATGGGAGAAGGTTGGGGGAAGGCAGGCCATCTTTAGAGAGGGGCCAGGCTAAGAGAAGAGAGGGAAAAAGGAAAGCTTGGGCAGGAGAGGAAGGTCCAGCATGGCCTCCACTCTTGGATGAGATGGCGTGAACTCTGAGAGGGATGCAACTCGCATCATGTTCTCTTCCTAAACCCTTTGTATACGGAGAGCTCTTTGATGTGTCTTATGGAACAGGACATAGGTGAACATAATTTTAACTAAAGTGACATGGTTCAAGAAATCAGAGTGATGCAAATAAAGGGAGTTTTCTTGAAGTTCTTAGGAATCTCTGTGCTTAGGAAGTTACTTATAGTAAGTGGAGAAAGAGAGGCTTCCCCAGATCATGTTGCCCATCATGAAGGCATCAGAGGTGGTTGTTTCCACAGCACAGAAAGCTTGTATACAATGTGAAGTTCTGGTTGAATGCTTCATTCAGCAGTCCCAGGGCAGATGACCCATTTGGCCATGCAAGAGTTATTTTCATGGCATACAGAGGTCAAGGAGGGAGGGGCTGGACTCTAAGTTAACACTAGCTAACGGAACAGCTTAAGTAACAGTAACTGCTAACTTAACAGTATCAGATGGTACACAAGAGGAGCCCACTAGTTTGTCTTTTCCTCCATCTGGTGGTTGTGGCTGGTACTGCAACACCTCAGACCGCCCAGCCCACCCCTGCGGTATAATAGTGTACGTGCTTCAGATCGGACCATCTCCCTCTGCCCGCAAAACCGTCATTCTGAGTTCTGCGAAAGGCCCCTAAATCTTTGAGTTCTAAAGGAAAAGGTACATGCTCCCCCTAAGTTTCCTTTAAAATAAAGGCACCATGAAAAAGCCTTAAAATAGCAAGATTCCTTGTTAGGAGGAGAAATGATCCTTTTCATGACTAGAACAATAATTGGCTTGCTAAGGGGGGGATGCTCTTCCTTGGATATATTTAGTCCTATGTTGTCCCCTTTTCTCTGGTCTTCAGCTTATTGAAACCTGCCATCAGACATCATGGCCAGGTGTGTGAGGCCTGCTCTTCGTTTCTTCAAAGCACCCGGTACACAGGGTTACGGGTTCTACGAGCTGAATCCCCCAAGCACAGAAGTCGGATCCCAGGGTGAATATACTTATTCTGCCTACGGGCCTCTTGGTTCCACAGATACTCATTTGGCTCACAGAACTTGCTCCAAAATTGAATTTGCAGAAGCAGCAGGACGGGGAAAAACGCACACGGGGTTCCACGCATCACCCAAGACTGCGTGTCACTTCCACTCACCCTGGGAGACTTTAGACGGAAACAAAAAGCTCCCCTGGAGGATGTGCTAAAGGAAGGGGAGACAGGTGGTTCAGACCTGAAAAGCAGACCCACAGTCCCAGGATATGCTCCCCCAGCTCAAGAGACTCGCTTTCCCAAATGCTCCCGTGGCTCCCATCTCAACTGAGATCACCTGTTCCTTGCAAACTTCGAGAACACCTAAGTGCATATATTTGCAAATGAACAATCCTATTCAATCACAGATGTGCCTGGATCCCCAGACAGAAAGAAGCAGCCACTCACCGCCAGCAAGAGTAGCCCTTCCCGGGCCCCACCTCGGCTCGTCCTAACTTGGGACGCCAGATGCACGTGGCTCTTCTGGGTTTCGCCAGCCAAGGGGAGAGGCGACCTCCAGCACGTTTACAGGGAGGTGCGTGAGATTGGCTGCCCCCACCCGCCTCGGGGGGCCTACGTGCGCTCCCAGCTGTTGCCTTTTAACAGCACCAAAGAGGCCGGCAGGACAGAGGAGGAGAAGGGTGGTCTCCTATCCCCTCTCTTCCTTCCCAGCCGGGCAAAGAGAATTGGAAAGCAACACTGGG